AGTATCAAGAAATCAAGCAATAACAAATGCTGAAGGGCTGTGGGCAAAAAGGAGCCCGTCTCCACTGTTGCACAGGTGCAACCACTGTGGAAATCAGTGTGACGATTCCTCAAAAAGCTAGGACTAGAGATCCCATTCAACCCAGGTATTTCCAGCTATTCCCCTTCTGGGTATCTTCCCAAAAGAATTAAAAACATCATACCACAGCGATATATGTGTACCCATGTCTATAACGGCATAATCCATACTAGCTTAATCTTTAAAACAACTCAAATGCCCATGAGGGCTGAGGATTTAGTTCAGTGGCACAAGTCCCTGCGTGGCAAGTGTGAGGTCATGAGTTCAATACCCAGTGTCAAAAAAAAAATGCCTATCAACCAAGGAATGGATAAAAAAAGACGTGGTACTTTTATACAATGGAGTACTACTCAGCCATAAAGAAGGGTAAACTGGAGACTTTGATAAGTAAATGGATGCAACTTGAGACCATACTCGTAAGTGACACACGTGTAAACATATTGTTTCATTAGTGTGAAAAGCCGAAAGAAACCACACATCTATGAGTGTGTGTGTGTGTGTGTGTGTGTGTGTGTATGTGTGTGTGTGTATAATAGTGAAGATAGTTATACTACTGATTTCTCTGAGTTTACTGAAGGGAAAGATTTGTGCTGGTATTGTCTGGACACCTGAATGCAGATGTCTTGTGCTCTGGTGATTTGGGGATGACAATGTACAACGTATGTATCACTGTTGCCCCTGATTGACATCTTCTGGAATTTTTAGGTTATTTTCTTCTTTTTCTCCTTGAAATAAAATGAATTTGAAAAAAGTAAAATAAAATAAAATAAATACATGCCCTGTGACGGAAACACCTGGCAGCAGCCTGGAAACAGGTATTAGGCTGTCTACCCGAATAAAGAAATATCCTGAGAAAGGCACACTGTAAACATCCAGGACCAAATCTCTTAGGCCCCCCATCAGGGCAGGACTAGAGTTTAGGGTCACTCTCCTAGGAATGACCTCAAGACCAAGTTAGACATAAATACAGCACTCAATTTGCTAATAAATGATGAAACTAATGAGAGGGTGAATCTTTCCCCAGTCTATTCTCAACACAAAAACACACGTCCAGCAACACTCTCCTGTGTTCCAACCTCACTTGCAAAGAGCCAAGGCTGGGCACAGCCTACAAGGCCTTACTAGATCTGCCTCCCCTCTTGCCCTCCTCTCAGGCCCTTCCACTTTTCCCTCTGTTAACTCAGTCCAACTTCACTGGCCACCTTGCAGATCCTCCCCCATGCCAGGCCCAATGTGGCCTCCAGTGTAGCCTTTGCCTTTGCCTCCCTCTCTATGTCTTCTATAAACAGTCTTAAGGTAATTATTTTGACTTTGTGGGCTATACCATTTCTGAGGCAGCTACTCACCTCTACACTGTAGCCCAGAGTAACCTCAGAGGACATATAAAGAAATGAACACAGCCAGATTTGACCCAGAAGCTGTTATCTGCCATGCATTTGCCTCATACACTCATCCAAAAGCATTTATTGAAGGAGTCACTGAATGAATTAATTAACTGTACCCTAAAAGGCCTGTGCAGGGCCAATAACAATACAGGCTTCAGGTGGAAATATCCACTCTGGGCTGCCAGTGAAATAGCCATCCTCCCCGAAATTCCTAATATGATCCCCCAGTTCTTGCTCCCCTAAACCCTGTCCTCCTTTTGTACTACACCCATACCTGATCCTGATAGGCAAGGCTATCCCTAACCTTGAGATCACCTCTGGGAGGGGATGTGGCAGAAAAGCAACCATTTCCAAGACTCAACTTTCAAGCAAATGTCCTCAGATAATAAAAGAGGTGAAAATTGAAATACATAAAATAGATGATTCTGGTATGGGAGCCAAACTGTGTCTAAATAGATTGGAGCTGGAGTTTTCCATAAGGTGTCAGTAAGTCTTTAACATGCAAATGAACTGCCTCCCTTGGGGTATTTTAAAAGACCTGTCAAGCATGAAATATGTCTGTCAATGAAAAACATCTTTCATTATTAAATATCTTGCTAATGAATCATCTGTCCTCTTCTGTTTACTTGCATTTTTTATTTCTACCTGAATTACCTATCATAACAGTACATACCTTGTGGGATCTAAGGCCACCAAGAGCCTAAAACCTAATCACTAGAGAATAATAGTAATAATTAACCTTTGTACAGACTTTTAAGCTCATTTCACTGGATATTCCAGGCAATCCAGGAAGGTAAGACAAATACCACCCTCCCAGGAGCAGAAGAACTTGAAAAAACCAAAGAGCAGACACCTTGACTGATTTGTCCCAAATGACCTAGCTAGTAAATGGCAGATTAAAACTTGAATGGGGCTTAGTCCTCTTCTTTCTTATGGCCCATGATGTCTTTCTTTGATAGGACACATGAACCACAGGTCACTAAGGTTCTTACTACTGCCCTTAAATACACAGTCACTGTATGTAGGCACTATAACCTCTGACCTTCTACCATCCCAAACAATGCCATATGTGGGAGGTACTGTGTGGAACCTTGGAAATGAAAGGCATGCCAAGTAAAAGATAAGCAATACATCTCACTAAGAACAATCTGTTCCAGTCTGCAAAGTTGACAGTTGTTTGTCAGATCAGTAAGAATGAACACCATCTCAATGGCCCACCTCACAAAACTAGGTAACGGAAAGTTTGACAGTGGGAGTTGATGGTGAAACAAAATCTCCATCCCCTGGACAGAACTAAAAGGGAAATCAAGCACTTAATGTTCATGAGGGTCAGGAAGTAACTAGGCTTTTCAGTTACCACCCATCTGCTCCCCCTCTCAATGCCATGACCAGGAATATAAGCCTCGAATCACTTCTTCCTGCCAAGTACAAAAGTGAGAATGACTACAGCGAAAAGGCACTTAGGAATCTAATTCCAGAAAACCTCTAATGTGATCACTGTTTCCTCCTATTTCCTAGACAGACGAGAATTATTTTTTGTTGCTCTAATTTTTTTTAGTACCAAAATTCAAACTCAGAACTTGTGCTTGCCAGGCATGAGCATTATTTTTTTCTAGACCATTCCCAAGACTAGTAAAGATCCAAAACTATCTTTGAAGGAAGTGAACTAGTGTACAAAGAAACATGATCACTGATGTGGATAAGAAGCATACAAGGCAAATCAATTCCCAGGAACTGTGATTTGAACCCAAGGATATTTACAGCCTACTCTGTTCTGCGAACAGTGATGAAGTCCAATGCAGGAACCAAATTTTAACCATATACTCTTTCCTAGTATTAAATGGCCAGATGTTGTTTTAGTCAATATTGATTAGAAAAAGGATCTCTGAAATGCCAATGTCCCAGAGTAGATAAGGAAAATAAATCTCACCTAGGCAAGTAATAGAAATTCTCCATTCAGTTCAACCTAGGAAGGGGAACCCAGGGGAAAAAATGGAAAGACACCCAAAAAGAATAAGCAGAGTAAAAGAATCAGCCTCCCACCAGAGAGATAGAGGGACAAGCGTTTCAATAGCTCTCGTACAGTGCATAACTATTCTGAAGGGCACGCTGTTAGAACCTCAATCTACAGAAGTGGAATAAACTTAGCCAAGGAGCCAGAACTTGAAACCAGGTGTGTCTGCTCCAACCAAGACTGCACAGTGGACAAGAACAAGCAGCTTCCTGAGCTCTGAGAAGAGCCAGAGACTATCTGACATGGAAATCTAAACAAAACCGTTCTTCAGTGAGCTGCCCAGGTTACGGGGGGAAAGGGTGGGTCAGTAAACCTAGTACTACTATCTCATAGGTCCCTCCCTCATAAGAATATAAATAGAGAAGGGCATGGTGGCACACACCTATAATCCCAGCACTCAAGAGGCAGAGGTAGGAGGCCAGCCTGAACTACAACAGAAGCCAAATCTCACATCCCTGAAGCCTGTGTTAAGCAAGACACAATCAAGGCAGACTATACTGTAATCCAGGAAAAAACGACACGTCAAACCACATGAAAATTTGTATGTGAGGGGAATTAACAATGCACAAAGTATATCTGCACATTCTTCCTACAACTACAAAAGTAGCACTCACAGGGATCCATACCAGGTGGAAAGAGTTCACAGGTTTTTTTTTTCCTATAAAATAGTAGTACTCAAACTGTGGGTACTCATTAGACTCACAAATTCTTGGTACTCATACCACACAAGACCACCACATTTGGGGGTATAAGCCCTCACGTAATTCTGCTGCATGCTAAGGTTTCTACCCCAATAAGTAAATGCTTAAAGAAAATGTATACCAGCACAAAATCCAATTCACTTCAACTCTGCACATATTTCTTGGGCGCCCACTGAGCACCAAACACGAAGGAGGACATCAATGAACACCTGTTGACTGAGTCTTTAGTTGGTGAAAACTAAATGTCACTTAACCCTGGGAGTCAGCTATAACGGGTGTTTTCTACAGGTTGCTCTCACACCGAGCGCTATTGGCACACAGACAGAAGCACAGGTCATCTGGAAAGTGCTAACGAAGAGCACTAGACTGGGACGAGTCGCTATCCCAGGTGGAGAGTTGCAACGTCAGGGCCGCCCCTGCTCTTCACCACTCCGCTCCAGTCCCAGCAGCCTCGTTCTGGTAGCGCACAAAGCCACTAAGGTGTGAAAGTTTCTCCCTGAGCCACCTTCGGCCCTAGTCCAGTTCTGCCTACTGTGCACGCAGGGTTGTACCACCCGAGTGCACAGCACACACGAATGCCCGCTGTGTACCGAGCCGGAGAGAGAATCTCTGGAGAGGGGGCGGGTCCCTGCAAGTCAGAGGAACCATGTGGCCCTGCGCCTCGCCCCGGAACAAGGTCACCAGTCAGGACTCCCCAACGGGTTCCTGAGTGGCTACAATGCCAAGGCCGGCGCGTCACACGGGCTCCAGGGCGCTCCGCACGCCGCGTAGCTCAGCTGTCCTAGGCTCAGCGCGAGTCTTGGAAGAGATGCCGCTACTCACCCGAGGGACTCACCGCAGCGGCACAGGCTCAAGCAGCCAGGAGTTCCCAGGAAACTACGCCCTCCACCACCTACACTGCGCTCTGTGGGGCTGGCGCCGCGTGGCCTGCTGGGACATGTAGTTCGCGGTTCTCCAAGCAGGGAACCTCAAGCCAGAGGCCCTGGGCCCCGGAACCTGGCCAGCCAGGAGGACAGAGGAACCTTGGATGTCTTCTTTCTTTTCCTTTTCTTTGCTTTTCTTTTCTTTTCAGTAATAAGTAAAGCCATGTATACTCAGATGCAAGACTTTCTGTGTAGAAAATCCAAAAAATGTCTGTTGCAGCCAATCAAGACATTCAGCAATGTTGCAGGATACAAGATTAACAAACAAAAATTGTTATATTTTCACACATTATCAATGAACAATGTAAAAACAAAATTAAGAAAGCAACTGATTTATAATATCACAAGAAAATATAATTTTAATTAAAGTAGTATGATTTGCACAATGAAAATTCCAAAATATTACATGTGCCAACTCCCCGAGATGAATGTAATCATTATGTACTGCAAACATATACTGATAAAAATTTTTAAAATATAAAGAAGACTTAGGTAGAAAAAAAAAAGACTTAGGAAAAAATCTCCATGGCTTCTTTGTGCTGCCACATGGAATCTTACCGAAAACTTTTTGCAAGGGTTATTCCATTTATTTATAGATAATCTAGATTTAGTCTTAGAGATCAAGCAGTTCCACGTTAAAAACTTTACATTCCTTTTTCTCGATCAAAATATGACCTTCAAGAATAATTTCTTCTGTCTGTTCCTGTACTGTGGAATTAAGTTGTTCACATTCACTCTTTTAAACTCTGCCCCTCTCTGGTTTCATGCATTTTATCACCAATGTATTTAAACTTTGCTTATGAGAAGAGATGGCTTAGTAATTGTATCACTGAAGACATAGAATGGTTAATAACAACTGCACTTTCTTTAACTTTCTGAGTCAACCCTATATTAGTGGAATAGCTGCATGTCTATGATTTAATACAAAAGTATTCTGGAGTTCAGGCATGTAAACACTATGGCATTCCTTATATGTTAGTGCACCTCAAGTTCAGGAACCAGTGGCACATATTGTATTAGATCTTCATTAGAGTAGGGAACTGGAGGCAGTTCTAGCCCTCAGACCATAAGAGAGATGTGGTGCTTGTGGTATTTTGATGGGATGCTGTCAAAATAATTCACCGCTTTGTGCACACCAAATGAAACCCTTGTGCATACCTTGACGATGTGTAAGTAGAGAGGAAACTAGTCTTATTATTAGGTATTCTTTGTATTTTGGGCATTCCTCTGGAATTACGAGAAATTTAACACAGAAAGTCTTGTAGGGTTTTAGAATCTATTGCTCAAAAATTGATATTGTAGGAGTCGTATAGGAACTTTCTACATTTCCCAGGTAACTCTGGTATGTAGAATGGGATTAATCATCAAAAAGATGATACATCATGACCAAGTAGGCTTCATTCCAGGGATACCAGGATGAGTCAACATACATGAATCAATAAATGTAATACATCATACAAACAGGACATTATCATTTCAGGACATACAAACATTATCATTTCAATTGACACAGAAAAAACATTTGACAAAAATCCAATTCATGATTTAAAAAAAAATCCTGAGGAAAATAGAAGAACCTGTCTCAATCTGAAAAAGCCAAAAGCTTTTTTTTTTTTTGAGATAGGATCTCCCTCTATAGTTCAGACTGGCCTTGAACAGGCTGGCCTTGAAGTCACAGTAATCATTCTGCCTCAGCCTCCCAAATTCTGGGACTATAAGTGTGTACCACCACACCCCAATAAACCATTTATGACAAACCAATGGCCAACATCTTATTAAATGGGGAGAAGCTGAAAGCCTTCCTCTAAAATCAGAAAAAAGACAGGGATGGTTACTATCACCATTCCTATTCAGCTGTAGTTCTCAAAACATTAACCAGAGCAATCAGACAAAAGAAAGAAATAAAAGGCATATGAATAAGAAAGGAAGAAGTCAAATTATCACATTTGCAGATGATATGATCCTCTACATGAAAGACCCAAACAATTTCACCAAAAAATTTCTGGAGTTAATAACCAAATTCAGTGGCATAGAATACAAAGTCAACACACAAAAATCAAAATTGTTCCTGTATACCAATAATGTCCTCAACAAGAAAGAAATTAGGAAAATAGTACTTTTTACAACCCATAAAAAAAACTATTTAGGAATTAACCTAACCAAGGACGTGAAAGATCAAGAATCAACAAATGAGGCCATATCAAATCAAAAAGCTTTGACACTGCAAAAGAAACAACCAATGGAGTGAAGAGGCACTCTACAGAATGGAAAAAAAAAAAAACTTGCCAGCTGTTCCTAAGAAGGTGGACTAATATCCAGAATATAAAGAACTCAAAAAAAAAAAAATGAGAGTTTCCAAAACAAAAGACTCCATCAAAAAATAGGCATCTGAAATGAATAAACATTTTTTAAAAGAAGTACAAATGCCCAGTAAATACTTGAATAAATGCCCAACATTGCTGACCATGAGACAAACATAAATTAAAGCAATACTAAGATTCCATGTTACCCTAGAAAGAATGGCTATCATCAATAAATCAAACGATTTCTTTTTTGGTAAAAACCATGCTGAGGCTCCAGGGAAAAAGAACACTTCTACCTTGTTAGTGGGAATGTAAACTAGTAAACCACGATAGGAATCAGTATGAAGTTTCCTTTAAAAGGTAAAACTAGAAATTCCATTTAACCCAGCTTTTCCCATGCATATGCATATTTACAGCAGCATAGCTCACAACAGCTAAATTTTGGAAGTAGCCTATCCATATTGTTCATCAACAGATGAATCAAATGTTGCATTTATTACACAGTGAATACTACTCTGCCATAATGGAGGGTATACCTAAGTCATTTGGATGCACCTTGAGACCGTAATGTTAAGTAAAGTAAATTGAACACACAAGTATCACATGGTCTCTCTCATATGACAAACCCAAAATACAAATAAAGGATAAAATAAAATATGGATAATAGGAAGAAAGAATAATTCTAAATTGGTTATGGATCCAAGTTTAGCAGAGGGTACAACCATGGATTTGCAAATTTTAAGGCATTAGAACAGCTAGGTGAAAAAGAAATTTACTGAGTTGTTGAATGGTAAGAAGAAGCACATTAATTTTAGTTACCTATGGCCCTCACATACTGATTTCTATTTACTGAAAAAGATATACTGTACTTTAGAGACCTTCATCAGACATTCATTAAATCTGTAAACATCTCTCAAACTATTTCCATCATGGACAAACAGAGATGGGATAAGGGATTTATCTATCAATTCAATATCACTGCAATCAAGTTTCCAACAGGATCTCTTTTCCTGGACCTTCACAAACTAATCTAAAATTTATAGGGAAGCCAGGCATAATGGTGCACAAAGGTAACCTCAAAGGTCTGGGAAGCTGAGGTCCAAGGCTCACCAGATCAAGGCGAGCCTAAACTACATAACAAATTTGAGGCCAACCTGAATCATAGAGTAGAAAAGTTGTTTTTCAGGGTGTGGTGGCACATGCCTATAATGATAGCATTTAGGAAACTGAGGCAGGAGGATCACTTGTAGCCTGGGCTACAAAGTGAGTTCAAGGCAAGCCTGAACGGCATAGTGAAATCTGGTCTCAAAAAGATAATTAATAAATAAGATGTATAAGGAAAAACACAGAGCAAAGGACAGCCAAAGCACATTTGAAGAGGAATAAGATGCTTCAAAGACGTGCCCTTGGGGCTGGGGATTTAGCTCAGCGGCATAAGCGCCTGCCTTGCAAGCAGGCAGTCGTGAGTTCGATCCCCGGTACCGATAAAAAGGAAAAAGACAAAAAAAAAAAAAAAAAAGACGTGCCCTTCCATATTCCACATGAACCACAAAGCTATGAAAATGAAGATCATCTTTCCAGGCATGGTGGTGTACACCTATAATCCTCCCACTCAAGAGACCGAGGCAGGTGCTCGCCAGATCAAAACCAGCATGGGCTACATAGAGACACTTTTGTCTTCACACACACAAAAAAAGTAATGTTGGGGTAGGTAAAAACCAAAAAAGAAATAGAACATGCTAGAAACCCCAGAAACAGATCCAGGCACTGTGAAATCTTAGTGTCTTCACTAAGCATTACAGATGAAAGAGGAGAAGAAAGGTGACTCAGTAAATGATCTGGACAACCAGTTATCTGCTGGTACGCGTAACTCACTCACATATGAAAACAAACTCCAAGTGAACTAAAGACTCTAGAGGAAAAATTTAAGTTTTTTTAATTAAGACTTTTTGAAGAAAATAAAACATCCTTCAGCCAGGGTTATAGCTCAATGGCACAGTGCAAGGTCCTGAGTTTGATTCCAGTACATTTTTTAAAAAAGCCTGTGAGCTCAGGGTAAGGTTTATTAAGTATTATAAGCACCTCCAGTACTGCAAAAAAAAAAAAGAAGAAGAAGAAGAAGAAGTATCACAAGACAAACAGGAAATGAAACAATGACAAATTTGGACATTAAATTTAAGACTTTCTCTTCATCAAAAGGCATTATAGAGAAAAAGATAAGTCACACACGAGGAGGAGGAGACTGTGGTGAAATAGAGCTCAATAACCCAGCCCCTGTCATCTCAACTTTGCAATTCACAGACATTAATATAACAAACTCAATAGTGCCCAAATGGTGTGAGAGGGCACAAAGAAACTAGCATAGAAGCAAAGAAGGGAGAATCTAAATTGCCTAGATGATTTGGGAATGTTCCATAAACTAAGAACTAATTGACATGTAGACTGGGAATTAAAGGTTGAATAGGGAGAAAGGCTGAAAAGAAAAGAGTGCTGGGAAGCAGCCCAGGCACAGAAAGTCACTGCAACAGCATAAAGATGCATTAGGATTCAACAAAAGACAAAGATATTTTTAAATGTTAGGCCTGCAGTTGTAGTTCAGTGATACAGTGCACGTTCAGTAAGTGTAACGCTCTGGGTTCAATCCCCAGTCCAGGGAGAGAGAGAGAAACAGAGAAAGAGAGAAAATTAAAACTGAATATGACTACTATCATTATTAAACATGAAGTGTAACTATG